AGTGTGACTGTGAAGTCTTAGGAATGCTGGAGAGGAGGGTGCAGTAGTTGTGCAGACGCTCTCCAAGGACCGACCGAGTGTGACAGTGGCTGACAGCCACTAATTAAGCTCATGTGTTCAGGAGAAGAACTTGTCCAAGGGCTTCAACGCTCAGACTGGACAGTTTGTTGACATGATCGAGGCCGCATTCAGCAGAGTTTGGCTCATCTTGGTCTCCACGCATCCCAGCAAGAACTCTTGTTGTGCAGGCCGGCATCATTGATCCCACCAAAGTTGTCCGCACAGCTCTTGCCGACGCAGTGTCAGTCGCGTCGTTGATGACGACAACGGAGGTTTGGGGCAGTATCAGCGCAGTCAGATAAGTTTGGCTCTTGGATGACCGGATGCTCAGCATGTAGAATGCAAGGCCATCATTGCGGAAGAGGTGGAAGAAAAGGCCGCCGGGGAGCGCCCGCTCTCTCCATACCAGCAGGCACTTGGTACTAGTACTGCAGGTACTCGTAGGCCCTTGTAAGCCTTTCTCGGAGTTCAGGCCGGGATGAGACAAGATGGCATCGGCGGATTCTGAGCTGATGCGGGAGTGTGTGTAGAGCGCTTTGCTGCAGAGTAGTTCCATCAGGAGTTAGACATGATCATGAACCACTCTGCTTTCGCTGCGAAGCGAAGCTTCTCTTATTGCTTTTGTGGCATTTTGGCGAACCTAGCCAGCCAGCCAAGAGGCCTGAAAAATTAATCTGCAAATGGCAGATCCAGGGCTTTTTAGGCAGGTGACAGAGCGGGTGGCGGGAGGCAGCCTCGTACCTCAGCTGCAGGGAGCCAAGAAGAGCATGCAGTCTTTATGTCTTTCCAAACCGCAGTGCTGCATTAGTTTCCAAAAGTAGGCATCAGCAGCTGATGCGTCTGCCCTCGCCCGCAAGAAGCTGCGAGAGGCAGCTGAGACGGCAGCTTGGCAAGAGGGACATCCACCGGAGGCTCCAGACGCCAAGCATGCTTTTAGAGGTCGGGTGGATGGAAGCAAGGAAGCACATGGCTAACTTTGATCTCTGGATCAAGCACGATTGCCGGCCTTGCTATCAGAAGCAGTCTAGAACATTCGCGAATTTTGCATCCACCCGACTTGCACAAAAACCCTCATGCGCTTGGCAATCCGGAAGGAAAAGGCACTTAGTTGTTTTCAATTTTGGTCGAGCACTTGACGCGAAGATCGGCCCGTCCGACTAGACGCGTCCACAAGCTTGCAATCCTTTGGCTTCTTCATACTTCACGGTTTGGTTTTCCATGTTATCTACCTATCTCCTCGCTCATCGCGAATCTGCACTAGATATCATAGATAATACCGTTAATTGGCAGACCCGCCTGGAGACATATTATTTTAGAGAACAGAAAAGACTTCTTGACATTTTTTGGGAAGGGACTTTAAGAAGTAGAGATTCTAAAAATCACATGAGAGTATTCTGACATCTATCGGATTTCAATAGATTCGGGTTTTTGAAAAAGGTAGGCTATAGTATATACATATATATATATGTGTGTGTGAGTCATTCTTCTTCAGATAGCTCCTGTTTCGTGGCATTCGAGGGATTTAAAGGTATATTTTCTTGAATTTCCATATTATATGTGTATTCTTAGTACGATTGGGTACAGTTCTCTTTCTCTTTCTCTCTCTGTTTATTGTTTCTGGTCTTCTACTATGACGATTGATTTAGGATAGTTATTATAAAAAGTCGGTATTATAAAAGTGTTTTAGGGGTTATACGATAGATAATCATATTGAGAGTTGTTATCAAGAGTGGTTTTAGAATCGTGATTAGATTAATCATAACATGACTCATAAAGAGAGACATGGATGGTGAACAGTGTGATGATGGTTGGTGTAGTTATTAAGAAGGGCTCATATTAGATGTACTAGTAAATGACTAAAGTCTTGAATATAAAGTAAAAAGCGTATTTTGGTCTATTTTTGAACTTCGCCTTTCAAGGTAGTATACGATTTCAAATTAGTATGGCTCGTAAACAGGTTTTAAAGATGCGAGATATTGGAGGTCTATTGATCTCTATTCCTACTATATACGTATCGAATATAAGATGATGATAATTTTTTGTTTTCAACACTTCTATTTTTACATTGAGCTTAGTAGTCTTATCACAGAAACCGGCAATGATTGAGAATGGCTCGCTAGACGATAGATGGCAGCCAATGGACGATAGCGCGCAGCCGTTCGTTAATAGGTAGCAGCTAGCATTTAGCAGCTGGTAGCCACTAGTAGCTAACAATCCGCAGCCCGTAGCTAGTAGCTGCCACTTACTGAAATCAGTACTATATATATATACATACGTACATCATATATGTTCATATTATGGTAGGTTTGATATGGTTACAATTTAGGAAGGTAGATTACTGGCACTCATATACTCTTGGGAGTAGTATTGAAGCGCAGGAGATTTCAGGGAGCAAGATTTAGGGCACAAATACTAATGCTAGTAGTGGTTACAAGGGGTATCATATTGACACTCGTAGTAGGATAAGTACGAAGTAGTATTGTACGGAAAATATCTCTATTTGCTAATATTAGATTTCGTAGATCTGGTTTGTAAATTTCGATTATGACCTCTTGTGGGACTATTCTTATCATGTCGTTTGGGTCGGGGTTTCCGGCCTGGCTGGTTTCATTTTCCGAGCGACCTAGTCAAACCATGCGAACTGCAGCCGTGTGTTTTCGTTTGCCAAGAATGCGGCACCTACCCAGATACATGTGAGCTCCAGTTTGTGTGATCTCCGGTTATGTCGTACAAATTACTTGGCATCTCACCGTTTCATGTTGAACAGTCACAGCATGCGTACAAACAGCACGTGGGGTCATGCTTCTGTCATGAGCAACAAGCACAAAACGAGTGGCACTTGTTATCATTCCCGTAGCTTCCTTCGTACTTCATGATGGAGCAGCCGGGATGTGTGGTGGCGGTGGTGGGCGCCGGGCTAGCCGGGCTGTCATTTGCGGCGGCGCTGATGCAGGTCGCAGGCTCAATTGAATCGTGCAGAGTAACGTACAAGATGTTTGTGAGCTCTCCTGGCCGGCTGATGACAGGACACCTCGCGCGACAACACATTTGCCAAATGCAAGTAATTTAGCTGCAGAGTGCAGGTAGGTTTGATGTCTGCTGTATGGCAGGCGGGTTTGTTGTGTTTTGTTGTTGAGAGTCGAGCTCGGCTTGCAAGGGTCGTCGTCTTCGAGCAGTCTCTGGTACTGGACCGGTCAGGGTACTTTCAATTGGGCAAGTTATGTTGCTTCGAGGTCTGGAGGTGGGGCACAAAAAATCCCGGAGGACCCTGGCGCTCTCCGGTCGTTGCCTTTGGCACGAGTTGGCCTGAAGGCCTATCGAAATTTGTCTCGCTTAGTGCGTTGCAGTTTGTTGCCTGCAAGGCACTCCGTGCTTTGGAGTGTCCTCTGGTTGGCACAACGTTCCGACAGGTGCCGAATAGTTGAACGATTGCGTTTGGTATTCAGTGAAGTGACATGGCAGGAGATCGATTGCATACGTCGCGAAGATCTATTGAAATGGTTTGTCAGTCTGTTGCCAGCAGACACGATTCATTTTGGCAAGTCTTTCCGAGGCCAGTGGCGGCTAGTCTGAAGGTAGTGTATCTAAGTTCAGTTGTTCTGTTCGATGCCGTTGAGCAGGCTTTCATGTCGATGGCAACCAGCTCTTTTGCCGCTTCCAGAGTAGAGATGCTGGAAATCTACAATTGGAGGCTGGGTCCACTCGAGTCATGAGCGTGTCATAGGCACTTCTGAGGCTGATCGACTAGAATTGGTTGTTGGCAGTCGGTAGAGTCTTGATGCCTGCAAGTGCCGTATTCCCACTTGTTGTGCGGCGCTTGCAGGGTCCATTTGATGCTGTTGTAGCTGCGGATGGTCTTCGTTCAGATGTTCGGAGTGAATGCGAAGCAGCCTGCAAGCAAGGTAGGAGGGGGATGCACGGCTGCAAGGGTTTCATGTCGTTGAGTCATTGACAGTTCTGACGTGAGCGGATCTCCAGTTCTTGGACATCCGGTGCAGGACCTCATCGGCTTCGGGACTTGATTCTGGGCGGATCGATCTTATTCCTTGGGGATGCTCAGCGAGCTTTTCGAAAGGAGAATCTCGACAGGCATTCGCAAGCGCTTTTGGGTTGATCTTGGTGCTTCGTTTTCTCCAACTTCTGTGCCTGTTCCGCTTGTTGCCTGAGGCGAGATCTGGGACTTGGCAGGGTTTTCGGAGGTGGCAACAATGCAATAGAACAAGGCCGAGTGTTTCTCCTCCATGCTGCTGACTTTCAACGCTTCGTGCTCTTAACATCGCCGATCCAGCAGGTGTTCAATTGGCGGGCTCCCTCACAGAGGCTTTTGATCGTGCCGCCAGGCCTGCACCAAAAAGCTTGCAGGAGTGTGTGAAGCCACCAGTGTGAAGCTGTCTCCCGTTTGGTTTGTGCGAGGCCAGTGCATGGTTCCACCAGCCTGCACCAGGCAATGCGACCTTCGAAGACAGTTGCGCACCATCTTTTGCTGTCCGTGCACTAGGCGCTGCAAAGCAAATCTATTCATTCCTGCCATTTTATGGCAGTCGCTGGGTTATCTGAGAGGCACGGTTGGTCTAGCTCATTTGCAGCTGTTAGCTGTCGTGCCGTCGTCCCATTGATTTGTTCATCTCGTTGCTCAGCTGGGTTTCTTTCGATAGGAGATATGCGTCCCTGAGCAGGTTGCGATGGTATTGCAGAAAGCGGCGGCGGCCATGCGATGGAGACGAACCCAGTGTTGAAAATCGATCCAATTCACTCGCTTGGCCGAGTACAAGTTCATTGCATGCTTTGCACCCCTGCACAGCACCTAGTGGTGTCCGAGCAATGCAAAGGTCACGAAACCGATATGCAGGGGGTCACTGCCCTCGTGAGACCATTAGTTTGCATGGAGGGGTGACGCATCCAAGCAACTAGGTGCGGGCGTCAGTTCTCTGTTGTGTGCCATGGACTTCCCTCCAGAAGTTCGAGAGCTCGTGCAGCAGCTGAAGTCTGCTGGGATGCAGATTGACGAATCGAATCCGCAGGAAGTTATGCAGGCAGGATGCCGGCCTCGGGGCATGCCTATGGCATATGGCCTATGATGTCAAAGCCTATATCACGTTGTACAATCTAGTTTGTTTCACGGGTCTCTGGAAGCATTATTCAGACTTAGAGCTGCAAGGCAGCGAGTGCACGCACGGCATCGGTAGGCGACTCCCCTGTTGATTCGAAACCAGTTCAACATCCAACGTCCAACAGCAGCTTGGGAGCGTTGTCACTTCAAAACGGGTTCGATTTCGCGGGACAGTTGTGTTCCAGGCGCTGTTTCGAGTGCAGCAAATGGCGGCCAAGAAGAAGAAGTCCGAGATGGTCAGTAAAGACCGCGCGCTCCCTGGCCGAAGTGAAGCACAGGTCGTGGCAGCTCAGCATTACGTGCTGAAGAACCCGATGAAGAGTCCATGGCCTGAGGGATTTAAAATCTGTGTCTTTGCAAACGGCTGCTTCTGGGGCAGTGAGAAGGGAATCTGGCGCTTGCCCGGCGGTGGCATTTACTCTACAGCTGTTGGTTATGCTGGTGGCTATACCCCAAACCCGACTTACGAAGAAGCATGTTCAGGACAAACTGGACATACTGAAGCAGTGCAGGTGGTCTTTGACCCTGCGAAGATAAGTCTGGTGGATATTTTGCGCTGGTTTTGGGAAGCCCATGATCCCACACAAGGAATGGGTCAAGGGAACGACCGTGGCACTCAGTATCGTAGTGCCTTGTACTACTTCGATGATGAGCAGCGGCTACTGTACGAAGCCAGTAAAGAGGCATATGAAGCTGAACTGAAAGCCAATGGAAAGGGCCGTGGACCGATTACAACGGAAATTCGAGCGGCATCCGATTTCGAGGGCGAGGTTTTCTTCTATGCAGAAGAGTACCACCAGCAATATTTGGCAAAGCCAGGACAAACCAAAGTAAAACTTCGGTTTCCGGTAGTAGCACATGTTGCCTCATGTGATGCTTTCTCAATGCACATGCAAGGAGCTCGTCCGTACTGTTCGGCAGAGCCACAACAGGTGTCGCTTCCAGCATATGAGAAGTGGTGCCCCGCTGTTCTGCAGAGCAAGCATGCACCGAAGTTACCGGAGGTCTCGCGGCGGGCAAAACATAACACTCTGGGCTGATAGATCAAATCGTATTTGTGCACACATCGTCTTTCGTTGTAGTGTCCCTCCATGGCAACATGCCCTAAACGGTTTCATGCAGCTGAGGAGTTTTGGAGCGCTCACGGCCCAAAGCCGCATTGTGTGATACGGTCTCCGAACGAGCCGATCAAGTGGCCGTAGATGCAAAGGGAAGGCTACTCTCACAGGTTCGGCAATTGTCAGGACTTGGAGCACAAAAGTGCCACAGATGAGTTCAGGCCCAAATGGTGAATACTGGCATCGCGGCGCGACGCGCAGCGAAGGTCGGGCAGTTTCTGCCGGCAAGATCTTCACGGCACAGCTGTGAGCTTCGGGTCTCACAACTGTCGTTCAGTCACCTTTTCCAGCGAGCTGAACGTGCCATTAGCTTGCTGCTCGAGTCATCCTGCAAAAGAAGTTCATGGCTGTCGTGTTATAAAATTATAACTTGAAGTAAGATATCTGCATCAACCATGGTCGTGGCATGATAAGGCTGAGCAGTCGCTTCGAGCTGTTGATGCTCTGAGGCAAGCGAAGATAGATCACATTTGTTTTGTGCCATGCCCGGTCACCCGAGTTACCTCCCAGAACAAGCCGGTGCCTTCTCACAGCGGAAGCAGACACCAGCAGGCACTGCAGTTGCTTTCAAGCAGACTCGGACATCCGGGCCATTTCTTCGCATCCATGCGTGGATTCCGGTGATGCAGTGCACCAAGTGTTTTTTTGAATTTCTTGAGGGGGCCAGCAGAAAGACCTGCCAATTGTGGAAGATGCCCACCGGAGCCGTCGAGATTCACGCTGTGCGTGTTTAGAAGTATAGAGGGCCTGCAAGTACTCGACCAAGGAAACGGAGCCTTGCACTTGCAGCCTTGCTCCGCGAGATCCAGGACCGCAACTCCGTTTCCGTAGCGTTTGCATCTGACTTTACCGTGCAGGCTGCGGGGCCTTCAGGCTCGGGAGCATCTGACTCTCCTGAAATCTCCTCAGACGCTCCCAGCCAGGTTCAGGCTCGGGCGTCGCTCAGGCACGATGCAGAGGACCTTCCGGTCGCTTCAGTCCAGTCCATGTTGCAAAGACGCAGGTCGGGAACCTGACAGAGCCTACAGCCCACAACTCCTCGACTGAGCATAAAGCTGGCTCGGAGGCCAGGTGAACTGTCTTCTTTCTCCTGTCTTCTTTTTCCTGTCTTCTTTTTCCTGTCTTCTTTCTCTTGTCAGCATGACGATATGCCCAATTGCACTGTTGTCGAACATACGGGGACATGTAAGCATGTTTGCGTGTAGGCGTGTCTGCACGCATGAAGCTGCATGCTGCTGCATGGAGGTATGTATTGATGCATGCATGCATGCATGCACGGACGGACGGAGGGATGGACTGATGGATGGATGGATGGATGGATGGATGGATGGATGGATGGATGGACGGGCGCCTGGATTTATGGATGCATGGATGTTTGCTTACGATGCTGCGTTCACCTAAATCTTGGGAAGTCTACTGCACAATTCAGGGACTCGAGCTCTGGGATCTCTCGGCATTTCCGAGTTGGGAACAGATGGCAGCTGTTCGATGGCGATCTCAGTACAGATGCTGTTCCACGGTCTTGCCAGCACAGCACTTTAGCTGATCAAAGCTCGAATAGAAGCAGTCGGACGTGTTTCGTTTTTGCACAGAGCGACAGCTGCTCATGGCCAGGCAAAGCTTTGTGAAGTGCTCAAAGCTCCGACCCGAGCCATCCAAATCCATGTCGCCGCGTCAAGTGTGTCGTGTAACCAGCAAGTCTGTTCTTTGTTGAGGATGAGCATGGAGAATGGACTGGTTCCGTACATCCTGGTGGTCTTTATGCTTCGTTCTCAGTGTCAAGCGCCTGCGACAAAAGTTCGGCTTTGTCTTTGGAATTGGCTACCGAGGTTTTGACCTGCAGTCGAGGTTATCAGGTTGATGGCCACTCGCAGGCTTTGGGTATCGCTGTTTGAGAGAACAGTTCAACACTCAAGACCCGCATCCGCCTGCCTTGCCAACTCGTCTCAGTGATTATGATCATGCTTCCTTGCGCCCCATGACAGGAATTGGGTGTATACCAAACAGGATCGTGTTCCGTAAGGAGCTCGCCTCCGTGCAGGTCAACATGACTTGTTCCCGACATGCCGAGTGGCCGGCCAAGCCCTGGCCGCATACTTTGCCCGCTCAAGAAATGGGAGTTTCAGAAAATGAGGGGTACCTTGTTTTGGGGTCCTTATAATAAGGATCCTACTTTTTAGGGTACTATACTAAGGTCCCCTATTTTCGGAAACTCCCAAATGCCGCGGTGTTCGCAAAGGCACGCACGCAAAGGCATGGACACTGAGGTGTGAGGCCGTGGACGACTGCGAAAAGCTGCTGTATAAGACGGCGACCTAGCATCCTTTCCGAGTGTGCTCGAGTAGGGTGACATCCAGACAGAAAAAGATGCTCATCATGTTTCTGAGGTGTGGGCCTGCAGGTTTGTGCCACGATCTCCAAGATGGAAATGGCCTGAGTACCATGTTTCTCTGTGGTTTTCACATCAGAATCTTTGGCTTTGTTCTGGAATCGAAGACTCAAGCAAGGGGTCGAGTGCATGTGCGAGCGCGGTGCAGAGCGAAGCTTGGCCAGCAACGGCGAAGCCCTCGCCCCGGATGCACTCGCTATCGGGTTGGACAAAGGGAAGAGTCATCGGAGTGCTACACTGCCGAGGCCGTTTGCCACTTTCAGGGCACCACCGACTGTGGTGGTCGGAACTGTGGTTCTCACGGAGTGTGCGTACATTTGCCTGGTTCTTACATGCACATGAACATCAGACACTGCCCTTGAAGAGCTGTCTCTGTTTCAGGAAGGAATACCAGAACACCTTCGACACCGGCAATAGTTCCTTCCGATGCAGTCGCATCCTGAGTCAGAGCACCATGTGTCTCTTGTTGCAGTCGCCGAAACTTTACTCGCTTCTGGCCCATTGGCGTAGGCTGTGAACGGGGCTACATGGACGATGGAGAGAAGTGTGTGGCTGCAGACTGTGGGCCGCTGCAGGCGCTCACAAAGGGCCCCCCGCCTTTCCAAAAATTCGGAGCCTTCGACTCCCTTCGACGACTGAGGATCCGTTCGGCATCTGGCACGGCAGTCACGCCTACCTTGGGGTACGGGACTTCTTGTTGCTTGCTGGCTCTTGTGGCGACCCCGGTGCTGCTTAAGGAGTATACCTTGGAATGCCATGACGATGCCTTCGTGTGAGGGCCTTGGTGTTTGGTATTTTGGACGGTTGTTCTGCTTTGCTGTGCTTTGGGGCCCAGCAGCTGGTGCTTCCGAGACCGCATGAGCTGCACTCAGTCCGTCGACAAGTCTCGATCCGTGCGGTCTGTCGGAGTCCAGGTCGCTTTTGGTTTTCGGAAAGCAAAGGAGGAGAAGGAGGGGGCGAAGTCGATCTCCTTTTTATCGGGGGTCGCAAAAACAGGGTTCTCTCCGCTCTTGGTGCAGCCTTGTTTTTGTGGAGCTGCTTGGCGTCGGCCGCGAGGTGTTGCGAAAAGGTGTAGTAGGGCGAAGACTTCGAAATCAAAATGCCAGCCAGGCTGGTGGACAGCATAAGACTTGGTCACCATAGCAACGGCGTGCTCTACCTGCTCCGTGTTGCGTGCGGCCGTGGAGTCAGGGAGGGAGGGTGGGCACCGGACAAGATAACAAGAAAGCAACAAGACAGCAGCAAGACAAGTACTTTGCCTCGCCTTTCCGTGCAAGACAAGGTACGTCAGCGCAGTGCACAGCATGGATTCATTGGCTGCGCTTGGTGCTTCGACGTGTTGGGGTGGCGGGGAGAAAAACTGAGAGACCTGTCCCGTGCACGAAAAGCTTCCCATTGCACGGAAGCATCGGGCAAGTTGCGAGGCGTTGAAAAGATGTTAGGCCGCAAAGCGGCTTGCGCTTTGGACAAAACCGGCGTGTCGAAATTTATCGGAATTTGCATGAACAGTCCTGAGCTCGCCGGACATCCGGAGTCGGGCAGCTTTATTCGGTGACGTATGGTATCATCTTTTGGCCTTTTGGATCTCTGGAGATTGGGAGCAGAGGGGACGTGTCGGTTGATGCTAAAGTGTCAGAGTTGTTCGACAACTGGAAAAGTTTGCAGAATCAGAGAAGGCTTGCAAAGGCTATCTCCCCGCATTGTGAGAAGCAAAACTTGCGTAAAACTTGAGCGCGGAATTTGGCTGACACAGCCGGAGGAAAATTTGGGTGGGACTGTATGCAAAACTCATCTGCTTGGTCGGAGTTGGGTCTACGGTAGTTGAGGGCGTCGCGCATCATCGCGAGCCACAATCAGCCCAGGTGGGGTGGCACAGAGCAGGCTGCCACAATCAGTTGCCCCAAGCTTGGGACACAAACTGGAGTTCCGGGCTCGAGCTTTCTCGCTCACTTTAGGTCCCTCGTTTGGGCGCTGGCGCACAGTGCCACGATGCTTGAGCCCCCTCGAGGCTTGCCCCAGCAGGGCTGGCCAAGTCTCGGAAACCTTCGTCACTTTTTTGGATTTGGGCTCAGGTCCAAACAACAACTAGATGACTGTTGATGCATGTGCTTCTGCAAAGTCTCCAGCAACAGCTTCAAGCAGGAGAGAAGGGAGGCAGAGCGAGAACGCATTTCGTTTTTTTTCCATGCTGGAACCTCAGCTCGGGGGACTCCATGGAGCTCGCTGTAGTGTGGCCGACCCTGAGGTCTGCGCATCAGTTGTATGCATCGTATCGGCCGCCGCCCCAGCCCCAACTTTCCCTCACACGAACAACATTCCTCCTTCCCTGCAGGCTGCCTTAGCTGCCGGGCTTACCATGGGATTGGTTGGCTTGGAGCAGAGGGCCTATCTCAAGCGTTGATGTACCCCGCTTCTGCAACCTGAAATGCGGCTTCCACCTCCAAGGCCGGTAGAGTTGCAAATCATTGAGGCTGCCTGCTGAAGTCCTGGCGTGGACTGCCGAGCCTGATTGAAGCATGCGAATTGCGATCCAGGCGGCCCGGCTAGACGACTGTACGACGGAGAAGGACAGTGAACGCAGTGGACGTGTCGTGGTCTTGTCGCAGTTTCAATCGTTCCACTCTGCCGAGGAGAAGGAGCGACTCCAGAAGCAAAAGGACGCCGCGAAGCGGATCTTGCCGTTGCTGAAGGACTCGAGCTGCTGTCGTTTCCTTCGTTTTGGAAGCAGAGAAGCAGTGACCGGGCTGCAGCCGCTGCAACCACTTCGACCAAGCAAGCGCTGCAGCAAGCCTCCAGAAGCAATGCAGAAGTTCTGACAGAGACTTGCAGTCTGGCAACTCGGAAATACTAGTTCTACTTAGGCCCGCAACCTGCAACGAAATTTTGAAACTTCTCACATTGCCGAGCTGATGGCGGGACGAATCGCCAGTTTGCAGGCTGCCCTGCTGAAGATGCTAGGTCGCAGGGTTGGGGTCCGTTCTCCCTGGCCACTTCGACCGTACAGGTCTTTGCATTGCGCGGGCCAAAGTTGCCGCGGCCGCACTGGACTGCGTTCTTCCCGGTTCCGCCTGGCAACGAGGCAGTTGGGTGAGTCCTCGTATTACCCACCGTTGCTCAAGGGAGACTCCCCAGGGTCCGGAGGTGCAAGAGAAGGGTCGTCACTAGCTATATGTACACATGGTTGTTGTGTAACGCACGTGTGCGTGTAGGAACAAGTGTTAGCGATCGACCGCAGCTCGCCGGCTCGATCGCCTTCTTTGATTTACCATCCAAAAAGGAGCCACTGCACCCTAGTAGGATTTTGGCTAACATGTCGTTAGCACAGCACTTGTTACTCCCGTTTGTGCTAAAGATCCTGGAATCCTCTATGTCAACTGGAGCACGCTAAAGCTAGCCTGTCCTGCGCAATCCGGTGCCTCATACTCCCCTCCGAGCCGAAAATGCTCGGAGAGAAAAGCGGCCAAGGCCACCAGTCCTCCCGAGAGCCCCGTTTACAGCAGGGCAAGACCGGCGAAGGATCCGATCCAAGTATTCAACTCTTGCTTCTTAGATTGTTTCAGCTTGCCGAGCACAGCTGCACGAAAGGTGTCCAGTTCACAACGACAATCTCTATCGAAGGAGAGCAGTACCGACTTGAATGCTGCGAGTATCGCGATAGGATACTGGCCAGTGGTCAGTTTGGGGGGAGCAATGCCCGAAATCTGCAAGGTTCTTCAGCCGCTAGCACGGGTTGTTGAAGCAACTGAGTTGGACACACATGGCTCGTTGTAGTGTTTTGTGCAAGGCTGTGTTCAGACGCTCCCATTTTCCATGATCCTAGCTTACCCCGACCGTGCTTGTTTGGAACTGCGGTGCAGGGTGTGCCAGTCTTGATGGTGCTTTGACTGGTTGATCTGCTGCAAGATGTTGCATGTGCATAGCAACGCGCTACCTCCAAGCAGCTTAAGCTGCAGCAAACAAGCAGCACTGCTGCTGAGAATGAAAGGCTCTTCTTGCTTGTTTTCGACGATTTAGGCTTCCCCACAAACATCTTCCCGAGCAGTGTGCATCCTGCTGACCTTGTCTTGTGCCAAGGGAGGCTGGGTTTTGCAGTATTCTTTCGGGATTGCAGCCGGACGCTTCCCGATGCACAGGTGCTGGTACGCCTCCGAACGAAGGAAGGACTCGAGGGCTTTGGTCTGGCAAGCAGCTACACCGTGTCTCGGCTGTGGAGACTGGATTTGGTGTGAACTGCCATGCATCGTCTCGAGGCAATAGACCCACTCGTCAAACCTTGGAAGAATGGTTTGGCAGATTTGATCGTGGGTGAAGACGCCTTGGCACCTGAGCGCCTGTACCACAAACTCTTCCGGCTTACTGCCAACAAGGCTCCACAGCTTTCCCGCAAGAATGTTGCTTTCTGTGCTCGCCGGACCTGTACGGTCAGGTTGCAAGTGAGAAAGGCTGGTCGCGAGAGGCGATGATTCGCCTTAGCGCTGCAGTTGATTTGGCATGCTGGGACATCGTTGGGAAGGCCTGGCGATTGAAACAGCGAGGCAGCAACAAACACGTTCTTGCTGGAAGGCAGCTGGGCTTCCGTTGTACAGGCAGCCTGGCGTAAACTTGGACCGTTTGCATCGCAGGACTGTTGCGCAAGCTGTGAGGATATTTGGAGGATTCAAAGACGAGGTTGACTGTTATGCTACGTGCGGGTACTACAGGCCGAGCGCAGTGCATCCACAGCAGGACGAACCTAGTGATACGAACATGATGATGGTGCTACGTCTTGCAGGGAAGGGAAGGATGAGCACGAGCTTCGCGACGACCTTCAGATGATGGTTGATCAGGGTCACACAGGCACGCCAACAACTTCTGGGTTGCCGCCTAGGATTGCATCAAGTGTACGGATTTTCATGGTTGTTCGAACACGAACACAAAAAAACAACACCGGAATCATGGACGTGGAGCAGACCTCTCGCCTCCGTCATGTCCACAGCAGTGCGACCGTAGCCCTAGCAAAGCATGTGCAAATCTTGGGGTTCTTGTCAACTCGAACAGAACCAATACCAGTTGAAGAAACAGATCCTATACCACACGGCACACTGCCTATACCACACGGCACACTGAGCACAAACTTCAATGCTGGAATCATAGGCATTCTCGACTACGTGATGGCTCTCGTTACACGTCTGAAAGTGCATGTGCATGGTGTCTAATGGCTGAACTTGCAGAGTTTTGAAGACTCTAGGACGTATTTTCATGAAACTGCCTGCACATGGCTCCAGAAATCTTGATTCAGAAGTGTGCGTAAAATTGCTACGAAGCACGTGAACATGGGGAAAGCCGTTTGCAACTACATGTGCTGTGACTTCACGCACCGTCGTTTGACTTCACGCTTTCCCGCGTGACAACGCGATGTCGCGACTCCACATGCCATGGGGCGACAGAAAGCTACTCCTTGTAACAGGGAAGAGGTGAGAATCCGAGTGAAGCCATGAAGTTCTCTGCCCGCCCATGTTTCGTTGTTTTGCCATTGACAGGCTTCAAAGTCAAGATTGGTGGTTTGCCTCTCCACGAAGACATGGAAAGATTGCGTGTCATCCGCGAGGTCATTGGCTACGATAAGGACGAAACGAAGCGCATCATTTCATTTCAGTGGGTAGTGCTGGAGAGATTGCAGAGCGTGGACTGCGAAGGATCTCATGGTTGATGTGAACCGAGCCTGGGATTTCAAGACGGCTTGTGAAGGTGTGAAGCTGCTGGAGGCTGGAGGCTCTCGGATGATGGGCGACTCATGGCCCGGTGACGAAGCCCTGAAGTCCCGGAGGCCTTCAAGCCGCGCTGGCTTGAGGAACCTGTCTCTCGGCCATGTCACCCGTGCAAATGCGTGCATGTCGTAGACGAGGCCACTTTCGGCCAAAGGGCGCATCGGCTGCTTCCTTTGAAGGTTTAGTTTCGCAGGGTGGCGGCTGCCTCTGAGGTTGCCTGGGAAGACGATCGGCGCCTGCTAGGGCTGCTGTCACGGCGGACCAGCATCCCACTCTCAGGGGGTGAGAGAGCCTTGGCCCTTGGCAGTTTTTTATGCAGTTTCGAGCCTTGCGGGCAAGCAGATGCAAGCAGCCAGCCACCCGACGAAGCGTCTTGTGACGTTCAGGTGAATTCACGAGCTATGGCTGCAGGGCGCTACTGGAAGAGAAGGTCCTGCAATGTCCTTCATGCCTGCAGCTAGCTCATATATCTATACAAAGCAGAGGAGATGAAGCAACAGAGTGCCGAGAAGACAAGAAGTACTAGGTAGCCTGCTGTCGAAGAGGCCATCTCGATTCTGCAGTTCGATGCGACAATGTACGGCGGCTTCACAGAGGGGCGCAAGCTTGCGGCCCTCTGCGAGTTGAACCATGTACAGGCGTGGATAGCCTCGAGATAGCAATCTCAACCCCAGCCGTGCGAGTGAGTGAGTGAGTAAATGAGTGAGTGCGTGGGCGTGGGCGTGGGCGTGTGCATCGGCGTGTGGCTCTGTGTGTGTGTGTGTGTTTGTCTGTGTGTGCATGTGTGTTTGTGTCTTTGTGTCTGTGCGTTTGTGAATGTTTTTATTGCGAGGTTGCCCCGCACCATGACTGCTTCATTCATGCGCAGCTGGTGGCTTCTACCCCAGCTGGGCTGATCGTCGAGGCCTGTGTCTCAGAGCAGCCAGCAAGGCAGCGAGGTATTCAGAATACCCTTCCGATTCTCCGTGTTAAGGCCTTCACAGATCCTGAGCGAGATCCGTTACAAGCGGAGCTCTATCAGGACGAGTAGTGTGTGACTGTCACCGCTGGCAGATGCCTCACCCTGCAAGCCTTGAGGATGCCCCGGCTATACGCAACGGCAAGATCAAGCTAGGCTCTGCTGCAGGCAGTGCGCTGAAGCGAGTGATGTAGCCTCGCTCAGTATTTTGCCTGCAGGCATTGGACTTACGCTGAATGAAAGAGCCGTGGAGAAATACGGAGAGCGCATCGTCTGAGCGTGACTCAGTGTGACCTCCTGTCTGTACAAACCAAGATCGTATCTCAAAGCATCATTACCAGGAGGCGGACACAGCTGGCAGCATGAACCTTTACCAGCTACCTCGCAGAGATTCACAAGACAGTAGCACTTTGTGCCATCCATCTCTTGGGTTCGACCTTGTGTGATTTGATTGCTTTGACGTCTGCGGATCGAAAGATAGCACAGCACTCTGCTCGGATTCGAGCCTGCTGGAGCAGAATGGCTTCGCAGATTGCAGCAGCCCAGCACGCCTACGCTGGCTCATACAGCAAAGCCAGGAATGCATCCGTTCAGGACCACCACTTGCTCCTTGTAACCCTGCTTCTCCTCAATGCGCTTGCGAATGAGGCCGTCAATGGACCTAGAAGCGCGGGTCTCCTAGCTTCCCTTGAACTTGAACCCCAAAGCCAGGCGTTGCCCATTTTCCTGGACGATCTACTCAGCCCCGTTTTTGCGGTGCTGCTGTCTGCCTGGCACCACAGCACCACAGAGGCTGCACAGAAACACCTCGGAAGTGAGAAGGTCACTTTTGTGCTGATTTGCGGCGAGATCCTTCCATCTGCAGCTTGGATTGCTTGAGTTTGCGACGTCATGATACGATTGAAGCTCAAGCTGCATGCCAGGCAGTTTTCACCGGCCCTGCGCAGTTGACCGTGTCTGCGTCGCAGGCCCCTCAGGCTGACAAACTTGCAACGTTTCCATGCCTTTGATCCTATCGAGGACACATTGTGGGCTTAGGTTTATTCCCGTGGTCAAGATCTTGCTGACGACGATGTACTGCATCGCAAAGCCGATTGCCAGGATCCTGGACGAGGTAGGGAAAGCCTTTGAAGATGTGACTGCAGCCTGATAGCCAGAGCCTTGCCGAAACCTCTTTGCAGGCCCTGGTCCACAACCGCGAGGAGCGCTTCTCGCGACCAGAGGTCCGCTCTGTCCTGCGTGCGCAGCCCAGCGGCCCAGTGTCGCCAGACTTGCAAGACTTCCGGTTTTAGCGACGAGCGGCAGGCTTGCATTCGCCAAGCGGGCACCAAGCTGCACGAGAAGCTTATCGTGAGCGGGAAGGCCCGGAAAACGAAAACAAACGTCAGAAACGGCAGCTTGGCTCTTGCAGGCAGTGCGGAGGGCAGCCCAGGAGGCCGAGTGCTGAACAGATCTCAACAGCCCGACCGTGTTTTCGCGTCGGAGGTCAAAGTTGCCTCAGCGGCTCGAGGAGCGCGGCCGAAAATCAGCTGCTGCCCTCGGAGGCCGGACCGTGTCGGGCCCGCAGGGTCCGCAGAGGGATGTCCGCAGGCTGCCATGAGCAAACACTCGGGGGCGCCCTTTGGGTTGACGCAGGACCCACCGCAGCCACCGAGTGTTCTGAACGACTTGGAGGTGCAGGGCGTTTCAGCGTAGCTTGTGGTTTGCAATGTCTGAGGAGTTGCTGTAAGTTAAGGTTGACTTGTGCATGGCAGTGCTGATGCTTGGAGATACTTTGGTCTCGTCCTCGGCCGACCACAAGACGGAAGCTTGTTGCGCTTGGAAATGCCAAGGTCGCCGATAGTCCGGCCTTCTACACATTGAAGCGATGTGCAAGGACAAGAGCCTCGAAGGGCATGTTTGAAGTAGGTTCTACAGGCAGGACAGGCTTCCACGTCTCTGGTACAGGAGGGTGATGCCAGCCGACTTCTACAGTCCTGCAATTTCTGTGGCTGCTGACGCAGTGTCTTCGAACAAGGACCCTGGCTGTTTGCGTACTCTGGGGCGTAGCATTCGAGTGTCAGTATCAGATTCCCAGGACTTCGTCGTCGTTTTCCCGAACATTGACAATGTTGAATGGCCCGTAGAGGTGACTTGGGAGGAAATCGTGGGGATTCTGCGAACTTCAGAGCTCTTGGCGACCCAATCCTGTACGCCGATTGGCTCGCTCTGCAAGCGCAAGCAGCGACCAGCTCGTATAGAGGCTCACGAGACAGCTGCGGATGCACTTGCCCACATTGCTGATGCTTGCGAGTCGCCCTGTGGTATCGGGGTGGTTCACCGCAATGATGATTTCTTCGGTATTTTCGACGGTGAGGACGCCCTGTGCGGTGCGATTGCTGAGCAAGAAGAGTTTGCCGTACCGTGTACACCTAGTGACCGACTTTCACGCCAAAGACGTGAGGCAGGGTTGGGCATTGTCCAAAGCCGCAGTGATGCATCGCCTTCCTCTTCGACAGGGAGCCCTGCACGCGAAACAATCCCGGAGAGTGCGCATTTGACCGGGCGGACTCTTGGAGAAATCGCTTCAATGGCACTGGAGCCGGTAGACGAAAAGGAGGTGCGAGATCGCTTTCACACGGATCCTCAGCCAGATGTGGTGCGAGGAATCTCACTGCCACTGCCCTCACGATCAACATCAAGTGCCATAGATGTGGTCAAGTCTATGTCGTACAGTGTCGGAAGTCCTGCTGCGGCCAGACGCCAGGCTTCCATTATTGAACGTTTTATTGCAAGATGCTTCATCTCGTAGATTAACAGTCGGTGCAGTGCGGCTCCGTCGTTCTGGGCGCATGCCCAGGCGAGCTTGAAGAGAATCAACGGCAAACGCCTCCGGGAGACATCGCATCTGGGCTTCGAAAGCTTTCTAGAAGTATTAAGAGAAGCAGCGACAACACTTTCCAGGTGCCTGGCCAGACACCACCGGGGCGCTCTCGGCCGAGGCCTGCGAAGCTGTGGCGGCCTCAAACGGAGCCCGAGTCCGACGAGTCCCGAGCTGAGCCGAAACCCTTCCGGGGGCTCGGTCCCGTCCTGCAGGTCCTCGGAGCTGGAGCTGACGATGCCGCTCCAAGTTCTCTCGGAGGGAACGGAGGTGGTGCCGACGGTGCCGCCGACGGTGCCCGACACTGCGCCGGTGCCGGAGGAGGAGAGAGACCTCGAAGAAATCTCCATCGGTTCACGGCCCAGCCAAGGGCCGTTTAGTGGCGGACAGGAGTAGCTTACGGGCATGTAATCGCTTTGAAGAAGCAGACTTCTGCGTCGAAGCTCGACGGACGGAAAAAGCTGAAGATCTGACGCTCTGAGCTCACGGTTTGGAGCTGCACATGTTCAAGTCGTGCAGAGCATTCAGGCGGCTAGGTTGCAGGTCCGTGCTTTTGTGTTGGTTCTGGTGCTTCTCAAAGTGCTTTCAAGGATACTGCAGGGCACATTCGCCTGTGCTTATCACGAACTCATGTTGCTATGCATGGGGTTTGCTGCGACCAGAACCGGGCATTTACGACTTTTGTGGATGCATGTATACGACAGCGGGTCTTACAGGAAATTTTCCTGCATGCTGTGCGAATTCGAGACATATGGCATCTGACGCAGCTGGGGAGTGGCAGGCAAAATCAGCTTGGTATAGTTTGGGCATCGCATGATGGCAGCATCTCGTGGAGGTCGCGAAGTCACGAAGAGGTCGACCCCGTCACACTCCAGGTACCAATCTTAACACATGATGCTTCAAGCGCGTCTGGTAGCACGGCAGGTTGCCGTCCTCATGAGTTGCCTCAGCAGGCCGAAGTTGTGCCCGAGTGAGCCCGCTGGGAGAGTCGAGAACCGGTGCAGGTGCAGCAGAGTGGCCCTGCCGATCCCGATCTGGTCAAGCGCCACGCTCCCGGCCAGACTCTTCGCTCGCAAAGTTCTTCAGGTGTTGCTATTGCCAAGGGCTTGCTGCCTGTGTCCGACAGCAAGCACAGTCTGGATGCTCAGATTCAGTGCCAGTGGTTGCATAGTACGTTGTAGGCTTTTAACACTTTTGACATCTTAGGATAGCTCTGCAATGCACTGAGGTCGCTAAAGTGCTCCAGCTACTGGGCGTCGGTCCTTGGAGCCGTGCAGAAAGGTCTTCAGGCAGCGCTCGGGCTCGTACTTGCCGTGTGGACAGTGTGGCCACGGAGGCAACACCATCAAACTCGCTTGCTGCAGGCGCCGTGTTTGCTTGTGTGCGTGTTGGCCCGGAATGATTCACCCACATCAGGGTGCGGTAGAATTGCAGGCAGCGAAACATCGGCCCCCGCGGTCAGGTGCTAGTCGTTTCGGAACGTGATGCAATGAGTTGCAAAGTTCAATTCCGGCGGATTCCAGCTGCAGGCTACTCTGCCTTGGAATTGGCTCACCGGAGTCCTCACCATCAGCGGCCAGGGTTCGAAGACGGCGCCCGGCTCCTTGTTCACGAAGAATCACAGATCGAGGCCTGGCAGCTCAGCTTGGCCTGGCTTCTGGCGGAGGTCTTCGGGATCCAAGAGCGACACTGGGCCGCCTGGACCTCGGAGCCATCAAAGTGCTGCTTGCAAGCTCCTTTGCATGGGAGGACCCACAGATGCCAGATGCCCAGAGATGCCCAGCAACGCCCAGAAATGCCGAAGTGAGCGCCGGATCCCAAGTGGTCACGAGGCAGGCGGCGGACTGCGCCTTGGGGACCGAGTTCGGCTTTGCACTGGCCGAGGCCGAACGTTTCCAAGCTTGAAACCGGACAGCGACGCAGCGACACAGCGACCCGTCTGTGCTCGCAGTCCCGTGCTCGCACAGGATTCTGCCAGCCGGCCCTGCGGGAGGCTCCAGAATCAGCAGAATCAGATGGGGCAGAAGCTGGTGTCCACGAAGGCCGCTGCTGCTCTTCATGCCGCATTGCGACAGGGCCTTGTACGAGGCCGGTCCGCGCGATGCCACGACACATCGCGGCTCAGTCCATCACTGGTGTGTTCTTTGTCCTCAGACGGTCCTTGCCGAGAACGAGGCCGAGGACGAGGGCAGCGCTCGGCGGCTGACAGAAGACTCTGCCTCAGGCGTGGCCTTGGCCTGATGCTTTGGCCGACATCGTTCTCGTCGGAAATTCTTTCAAGGCTGAAGCGGCTGAAGCCTGGCGGGTCTACATGTCCGGAGATGCCTGCAGTCATGACAGGCTTACCAGGAGCGCGACGACCTCCGCATGGTTGCAAGTGGCCCTGGAGCTCCGAGCCGTGACAGTGCCGGGCCCCCTGCCCCCTGCGTTGCCACAGCGCGCCCACCGAGCGGTTGTCGGGTTCAGACGGAGTGGCGCTTCGACGACCTGCGGCTCACAGAACCGTTTCACAGACACAGCACAGCAGGTACTGTAAATGACGGCGAACTCGGCCGGGCATTAAACCAAGAAAATTGTCAATGCTCGTGGAAGATTTTTGTAGATTGTAGTGTGTTCTGTCACACAGGCAGGTTGACTGGCAGTGAGGGTCCCGACTGTTGCTGCATGGCCATGGAATCAAGATGAGCCACCAGAAGGACCCTTCAGCAGACGGTGTCGCCTGGTTCCGGAAACAACCTGGCCAACCCAACACAACACACTCACAAACAGGTAGGCTCATTCGGACAACTATCCGGCAGATTCAGAAAACCGATTCGGGAAACGGAAGGACAGATTCAGAAACAGGTGTTCTTCTTCATGAGGGTTTAGGCTCCAGGGTTGAGGGTTTGCCGGGTTCAAAAGCACTTGGGTTCAGGGTTTCGGCCTTTTCAAAGTGAGGGTTGAAGGCATTCGAGTCTCGGTGATAAAGTTGGCGATGTGGTTTTGTCGACTTTCTCTCTCCTGGTTTGCCAGATGGTTTTCTGGAATGTTGGTGTTTTTCTGAGTTGGTCTTCCTTGTTTCCGAATGTGTTTCTGCAGCCTGTTTTCGTGCAGGATCTGCGATGCCTTCCAAATCGGAAGCGGACATTTTGCTGGAAGATGTCTGCACCCAAGTGCTATGTGATGACCATGAAAGGTGACTTGAAACATACATTCGCACCACATCTCCAGGAGAAGGGGTAGTCCACTGATCGCAAGAGAATGCGATGCCACCAACTGAGTTACCTCCGGCTCTCAGCGCTGACATCGTCCGGTACAATGTGAAAAAGTTCTCTGGAGGGTTGGCTGCTCAGCATGAGGGCAGATCTGGAGGAGTTGCCATGAAAGAGTCGGAGAGTCAGGAGAGAAGACCTTCTGCCGGATGACATTGACGATCCGGAACTCTTACTTAGAGCTGTGGCCAGATTCTCTGAATGGGCTTCGGGGCATCAAATTCCATCAAGGACTCTGTGGGCTCATCCGTGAAAGGTGCGAAGATTCCATGCAGAGCCCAACACTTATCTTCGAAGATGTCCCCAAGGTTGAGATGCTGTAGTTAAAACCTTTGGTATTTCATGAATTGCAAAGCCAAGGTGCAGCTCTGCGAAAAGCCAGCAGTATCGGGCAGAAGCCGAGGCACGGTAGTAGACAAGTTCGGAGAGAGCCAAGCGATATCAAGAGGGCAAGTTCCGAGGCAGACAAGCTGAGGAGGCAAGTGGAAATCTTGGAGGCGCACGCAAGTACCGCTGGTCCTGGGTACCAGGGATGTCGTGTCTTAGGAGGCTCAAGCCTTGGCAAAAGAGAGGGAGGCGAAGCCACGGCCTCAACGACACCAGGGGCTTTGTGCTGTTGCTGTTTTTTCGCCGACGGTTGAGGTTCGGAAATCCAGAGAGGAAGCTCGCGAAGGCCGCATCTGGCTTCAGTGTTTCAACTTCAACAAATGCAACTTTGGTATTGCGAACGTGCCGCGAGGCTGCGCAGTCCGAACTCTTCAACGAACGTATGACGATCAGACGTGGGGGTCCCGGGCAAAGCGGCAGAGATCGCAACTCAATGCAACTCCCCTCCCTCCTTCCCTGCTTCCCTCCTTCCCTCCTTCGCTGCTTCCCTCCTTCCCTGCTCCCTGCTTCCCTCCCTCGCTCGCTCTCTCCCCCCCTCCCCCTCTCTCTCTCTCTCTCTCTCTCTCTCTCTCTCTCTCTCTCTTTTCCTTCCTTTCGGAAAGTCAAGGCCTGCAGAAAGAGCTCAGGATTGTGAAGGCATGACTCGAGCTCTGTTTTGACTTCTTGGATGTTGGAGTTGCGAAACATGCCGCGATCTGGCGCAGGAGATGCTGAAGGAGTCAGAGGCCAGTCTTCTTGTCTTGAGAAGCCCGAGTTTGTGTTGTCTGTCACCAACACCCGGTAGCTCACATCATCTGGAAACGCTCCAATGCAAGTCGCTGGGGTGTAGTTCCGTTTCGTTCTCGCATGCCAGTTGAAATTCTTTGTGCAGGACACATTTGCGCAGCTGTTTGAGGATTTGGTGACAACCAGGCGCAAAGACCAGGACGCTAGATCAGAGGGACGACAAGTACGAGAGTGAAGCAATGCAAGCCGTTTCTTAAAGACTTGTGGCGAGCATGGAAGGAGCTCGAGGATGCTCAGAACGGGCTTGAGAACACTGCCAGAATGTCCGTCGTGGCGGCTTGCTCAGTCAGAGCACCCTCGATCTGACGGATGTCTCTGGGCCGCTCCGAATGCACGTGCAAAGTGTTGGCATCTTCGTGTCCTATTCTCATGCCCCGTTCTCGTCCGAGGCCCTTGCAGAGGAAAGGAAAAAGGTTCACGAGAAAACCGAAATCGCCTGCCTCTTACGCTGTCAGTTTCTGCGTGAAAGATCGAACGTGACAGACCGTCTTCGGTTTGTGGGCACAGCAAGCTTCAATGACCAGACCTGTTCCGCAGGCATTGAGCTCTCGAGAGTGTGTTGCGCCAAACACTTGTGCTGTGCTTTCAAGCTAGTTTGCTTCAGTTGGTAGAGCGGAGCTGCGTTCCAGCTTTGTGGCCATGGAGCCTCTCGATCCGTGGGCGCATTACCTGCGACAGCGTGGAGCTCACCAGGCTTCCGATGTTTATCGCGGCTCCAGCGCGAGGCGTTGAGAAGGCGAGTCGCGAGCGTTGCGATTCGAGCCGTCCGTCAGCAGTCGCTCGCATCGCCCGCGCATTTCGGAAGGAGGGGCTGAAGCCATTGCAGAACGCCGGGCAGAGACACGTTACTGCGCTTGATCGGATGCTTTTGGTTAGGATGTCTGACTGATGAGTTCCCGGGTAGGACACCAACAGTGGCCGCGCCGCTGTGGATCTTAACGTCTTGTCGACACTTCATCGATGTGAAGGTGCCTTGGTGTGTCTTCAATGAAAAGGTGGCTACGGTGTTGGACGAGGCAGGGATGGACGCTCACGAGATGAAAATTGCCATCGTGGAGACGCTTTGGACGAGGAACATGTACTTCGATCGGAGTGGTTTCTCGCAAGGACTACTTCTCCGAAGGCCGATGTCAATGTCGGGTCTTCATTTGGTGGGTTCTCTGCGTGATCTTCGCATCCCTGAGGTTCGATGATGCGATCCACGTCAGGCCTCAGGAGCTCGAGGTGAAGGCAGACGGGCTCTTTGGCGTGTCATGGCAAACACAATCGGAAAGAAAGCGCAGGGGCACCAACTTCGTGGTCCCAGACGTGGCGTTCTCTAAATCTGCCGGGTTCAAGGTGGGCCTCGAGCTCTTCGAGATGGAGTTCCCGTCGGTCGAGCGGAACTTTTGGATACCAGATCCGGAGACCAAGACGCAATGAAGATCGACTCCTCCCGGCTACGCTCGCTCTCTCCAATGGCTCCACCATTTGGTCTGGACGACTGGCAAGGAGGCAGGGCTGTCTAAGGAGATCCTCGATAGGGTCACTTCTCTTACGTCGCGCGTTCAGCTCAGGTAGTGCCCTGTAAGAACAAGAGATCGGCGTCCAAGCCAATTGGAAGAATTCAGGACCCTTGGTCCTCAAGTACAGGCGCTCGCGATCCTCTTTGCCGGCTCTGATGGTGAAGGAGCGCGTGGCCGAGGTCTCTAAAGATCCTGAGGACCGTGCGGCCACCCTAACTGAGTTCTTTGTGAAAACTCCAGAATGGGGGGTCAAGCTGGGAGTTCAGGTTCCATGTTTGCTCTGCGGAATCTGTCGAAGAAATCGCTTGCAAGCGAGCGATCGCTTCGGAGTTTGTACACGGCGGCTCAGTTCTCCCTGATCCGAAGATGCTATGTAAACTCTGCTCCAGAGTTCGGCCCGACGTTTTGTTCTCGACTAAGGTCTAAAAGTGTGTGCTTCGCTTTGTTCAAGCTTCACTTTCTCTTGTCAGGGTGCTTTTCAGCAATTTTTCGGCTCTCGCTCTCGGCTGTGATCATGGTGGACCGCAGCCTCGTCTATCCCGACAAGTGCGACAGATCGTTGACAGCTCTCCGTCGCAGTTCGCTCTTTCTCCTTGCAGTCTCCAAAGCTGGACGGGAAATGCAAGCTCGTCGAGTCACAGTTCGATGGCTTGGTCATCGACAAGAACAGGCAGCTCGCTCGGCGGCGTCTAGCGGCTAGCGGTTACCAGCCCAAACGCTGTGCCGCAAAGCCGTTGCTTGACGTGGAATGCGAGCCCGGAGTGGCGATCCAGTGGTCGCTCGATGTGCTGCACCCTTTCACCGTGCAGTCTGTTCTTCCGGATCAGGTCTTGGACAACATTAACCTGATTGCCTCTCGGCCTCTCTGGTTGGTGGATCAACGCCTCAAGCAGTTGGCCTATTGGGAAGAACGCAGTCGCGTTCTTCTTCCAGAGAGTGATCGTGAACTTCGAGAAATCAAAGATCCTGCGCTCCGCCGCCTTTTGCACGGAGGCCCAGACTACGCAGCTCTATGATGAACTTCGAGGTGCTGGTTGCCAAAAACACTCTCTGCATCAAGGTCTACGTCAAGGCTTCTCGATCGTGGGTGAGATCCAGCGATCGGCTGGCCGATCTACAACAAGACGCAGTCGCCGGTCCCGACCGCGGAAGCCGAGTCTAGGGCCTGGGAGTTTCGCTCGAAGATCTTCAGAAGATGCACTGCACTGCGGCTCCTGTTTCGGACAGTTTGCTGGCGCTGTGGAAATCCACAATGGAGGACGACCCTAAACCCTAAACCCGAGAACCACGCAACAATTTTTCCCACCGAGATTGACATCAATGACAGCAGGGAAAGTCATGTGAGTTCGGGGACACAATGTGGAGTTGAGAAGGACGATGAAGAGGGCACCCAAACAGCATGTGCGGAAGCGGAGTGAGTATCGAGATGTTCTGAGGATGCAAGGGTTTCGGCCTTCCGGTAATACGGATTGTGCAG